TGAACGATCGGTTCCCTATGCATATTATACTAGATTTTCTCTTCGTAATTTCCAGCTTCCTTCATGAATGTCTTAGATAAATATTGACTAAAGTTTGTGTTCATAGTTGTTTGGTTCCGTGTTCGTTCAAAACATCTGTTTACTATTCAACTATACTTGTGCACGACACAATGTTCGTAGAAGTGTATATAAGCAGAATGGGTATGATATGCTGAAGTTGTGTGAATTTTTTACATGTTCATTCATCTTCTTCACTGCAAAATCTAGTTTTCTTCTGTTTTTCACCTTGTTTGGAAAAATTTCCGGGAGTTTCAGAGATTACCATTTTTGCATCTGAAATCTATGGGTTTCAATTCTTTGCTCCAAGAAAATTTTATGCAATTAGAAATATATAAATAACAGATACTGATGGGACCTTGAGCAACTCCTCAGATGGAAGCTCTTGAAGTTCATCCAGCCCAAGAAGTCCAGCTGTAAACTTTCGTCCAGTACCGTACTCGTAGTCTCGGATTGGTCCGCGCAAACAGGGTGCGGTACTGTGTGAGAGAGTGAATTTAGTTTTTCGGACATGTGAATTAAAAAGCCCGTCTCGGGAAACGCTTTAGTCAAAAATCGCGAAGTTCTCCAAATGGAATCATCCATTTCCAAAGCAAAGACCAGCTAATGAAAAGAGGCTCCATTAGCGTCAGACAAAAAGCTCTTAAAAATCCCTCACTGAAGGGTAATCGAGCAGTTATGTACGTCTTCTTCAGGATCTTATCCATTAGTAGCAGATTTCCTTGTTCTCGGCTTTTTGCGGTCGTCGAGTAAATCACCAAATCCGGTAAAGCGCTAGAATACAACAGGTTCCTGATGAGAGTAGTGTTTTAGGACACTGCTAAAAGGAAATCAGCGAAAAGGAGTAATTGAATCACCGCGCACTTTTTGGTGCAACTCCCTCAAGTAGTTACGATCCTTTAGAAGAGATCTTACAATTCGATTTTATATTCTAAGGGTGTTGCATGACGCAGAATATTTCAAACTTATTCTTTCCATTTCTCGACAACTCCTCTTCTATGCTCGTTTTCGTTTCTCCAAAGACTAGAGAAAGAAGGAGTAACCATTTTTTCCTTTTTTAGTTTTCCTAATATTGCTAGCTCAGCAGCAATAGTACAAAGCATGTCTCACACTTTGCAATGTTACTCTTTCTTTTCTTCAAGATCTATTCGAATGTCAAAACCACTTTCGGGCATAATATTTACCATTTTGAAGATTTAGAATGTTAACTCCGAGATTAACTTATTTAAATTTGAAATCAAAGTCTAAAATCTTCTAAAACTCCGAATACTTGAAAAAATTATAACTCCGGCAAGAAAATTTTCGAGAACTTCTAACTTGTTCATGAACTCTTGCTGATTTTTTCCTGGGCTAGAAACTGAGAAGTAGAAACATGTCAATTGTAAAAATGTAAGTTTTTTTATGGTTTTTTACGCTAAATATGATATTCCTCAAAATCATCGCTATAGAAAACTAAAATTTCGCGGTTATGCCTTTGAACGCTTAGGCCATGGCCCTGACTGATTACAGTTATAAAGTTCCAATTGTCCAAAACCCCTAAGACCCGACTTCTGAGGACCCTGTCTTGCAGGCGCAGACGGCCTTCCAGTACATGGGTGGGCGGAGCTTGATAAGATAGGGCGGGGCTTGGCAGCACTTTAGCTGTTCCAGGCCCATTTCCCATTCAGAGACAACGGAGTACTGAACGAAAGCAGATGCCCCTCTCTGGGCATCTATATTTAGGAGTGGCACTAATAGGAGGGGGTTAGATTCAGCCTGAAACTGCCATTAGAGATGCTTATGTGGAAACAGCATCGCTTCAAAAAATCATTCCAAACTTCATTTTCTTTATATTCGGCCATTGCAATATACCATGAACAAGTCAGAAGTTTATAAATATTATTCAGGCAGAGTTTCGATTTTTTTCAAGCTTTTGGGCTTTCAAAAAGTTTTATTCTGATTTCGAACTTGTTCTCGAAGCTTCGTGCGCTTGGGCACTTTGTTGAGCTCTGCTCTATCGGAAGATATCCCAAAAATTAAAGAAGCGAGAAATGGGAGCTCTTGGAGTGAAAAGTGAGAACAAGAACGATTTATGGGACAAACCTAATATGTTGACCCGTTCATAAGGACTGTTTGCTTCCACTCTGGATCGAATGATAGGCCGTTTTTGTAAAAACGGATGTTCTGAAGCTATACATCAACGCGCACTCGAAGTTTCTCACATTTTTCTACACGCACTAATGCTACTAATGGATTTGGGTTTTTTAGCGATCAGTCCATCAAATGCGGTCTCGTGCTGGCGCTTTGGATTCACGTTCCGATTTACTAGTGTTACATTTTTGAAACTATCAGTTTTCTTCAGTTTGGTAGCTCAAGATATAAATTCAATTTTAGCATATCATTGCTATGGTTTTGCTGCAAAAACCTCTTTGTATGAGACTTGGAACTGAAATAGCCTGAACTATTTTTTATTATATTTCGTTCATGCAAATTCATTCTCTAACAGACATAATATAATCTTTTAAAAATAATTTCAAAAAAACGCCGTTGTAAGATTTGCTAAAAGAAGCAAAAGCTGTGCATACAAGCCGCACCCTCAAACTATTCTATCTATTTTTTATTTTGTAGAATATGAGAATAAATGTTTTTGCACAGAAACTGAGCTAACTGCTGAAAGGATCGAAATATAAACAGCTTATTCTTTTTTCTTTCAAGATTTCGAATTAGTGCAAATAGCAAATCTTAAGCATAATAGCAAAAAACGAGCGAGACACATTTGATGCATCTTTTTGTTTTTCTTTTTCAGTGCAAGAGTTCGGTTACACCTTCATTCAAGTATGACTGATTCATAGAGATTCTGTATTTTTTTCTGAATTAAGGTGGCAGCAATAAACGCAATCGGTTTTGAACACATTTGATCAGTCAGTAATTATTTATTTTATAAAATGTAACGGCAATTAGACTCGATATTTTTCTAGCAGTGCTAATGGACAACCATCTAGGACTATTTGAATTCTTTACTTACAGATACTTTCTAACCAGCAATACAAGTTACTCTGGTTTTAGAAATGTCATAAGGCAGCTAACAAGAATAAAAGAAACTGAAATGATGATATCACATCTGCCTTTTACCGCAAATAAACAAACAAAGGACAGGATACGGTAAATAGAAATGTTTCAAGTGCTAATATTTTCTATTTTCTCCGCAAAGTTTTGCAGCAATAACATTCGCTTTGGTAAAAAGATATGAATATTTGTCTTGGTTTGAACTATCAAGAAACCCTACAAAAGTCGCTTCAATTTAGCTAAGCATGAACCTAGCCGACATACATATAACTTCTATCAAGTAAGCGTTTTTGCTAATCTGTGCAAATGCACAATTTTCTAGCATGTCGGAAGATGGAGAGGTTTCCCAACGAAGGGAAACAAAGGAAGCATAATCAGTCAAGTGGCCTTCTCAGATGGAAAGTAAACGGTATCGAAAAGCATAACGTTGATTAAACCTGCCTTCTTTATCTGCAACAGTTGTGGGCGAGGAGTTATGAGCCTTTATTCGAGCAAAACTGCTAAAATTTTATTTGATGCTAAATAGAGAAACCAGGCGTATTTTATTTTTCTCAGAGTAATTCGAATAAAGTGCTCTGATAAATACTAATGCCCCATCAAAGAGCTAGAAAAAATATTACGACTCTTTTTGTCAAGTTTTTTGGCTCTGATAAACTCTCATAACTCCTCGTCCATAAATGTTCCGCAGATTAGGAAAGCAGATTTAAAGTCAGCGTTTTATGCCCTCCCATATGGTATATATTAGGTTGAACCGAAAGTTCTGTCGCACCATTTTCAAAAAATCATAACTTCTTTGCCTCACGAGGATTTTGCGCAACTCAAATTTTTTCTGAAAGCGTAAAGCAAGTAGCTTCCAAGAATTTCCTGAGGGCTTTCCAAGGTGCCCAGGTTGCAGAGATAAAAATGAAGGAACGAGATCATCCGAAATTCGGAATTTTTAAGCAAGAATTCTAAAAATTCAGAAATTGTGCGATAAAATCCAGTAAAGCCATTATGGTAATTTTTCTAACGTTTGATTACTAAATGAGCCAAGTTTGTGCTGATCGAGCTCTTTTTTCAGAAGTTATGAATTTTTGAAAAAAATGCCAAAAAATCCATTTCTTAAGAATTCTTAGGAAATTGATTTTTTGGCATTATTTTTCAAAAAATCATAACTTTTGAAAGAAGGGCTCGATCAGCACAAACTTGACTCAGATAGTAATCAAATGTAAGAAAAATTAGGATAATGGCTTTTCTGGATTTTATCGTACTGTTTCTGAATTTCTAGAATTCTTGCTTAAAAATTCCAAATTTCGGATGATCTCGTTCCTTCATTTTTATCTCTGCAACCTGAGCATTTCGGAAACTCCCTAGGAAGCTTTTGGAAACTACAAGCTTTACGCTTTCAGACAAAATTTGAATTGCACAAAATCGTCGTGATCGAAAGAAGTTATGATTTTTTGAAAATGGTGCGACAGAACTTTCGGTTCAACCTAATACATCCCATCCGAAAAGACCTCTTTGACTAAACATGCTTTCATTGTGAGAAGCATGACTTTAGTATGCTCCTTCAAAAATGTTCGATGAATAAAAAAATAGAAAATTTATATCTAGGCTGCATGGAACCTCGCCCCATCTGGAGTTGTGCAACTGCACAAAACTCCCAGAAAACTTACTCGACTCTGTTCATACTTCCTAAACCATATGTAATGTTCGTGTTTTGTCTACGAAGGAGATAAATTATGTGTCGAACCCGATCAGCGTTCAGTATCCGCTACCATTAGTCTTCCCCTTCTTCAGTCGCCGGCGCGCTCGCCCGCCTGCTGTTGTAGCCGCTCTGCTATCCAGTCTCCTTAAACCGCCGAACTCGTTAGCCGCCGCCCAACCGCTCATCTTTCCAAACCACCTCTGACCGCACTATGATACAGGTAACGGGCTCCTTTTAGATTAAAGTCTATAAAAAGTAGTACTGTAGTGTTATTGTAATGTAATGTATTCAAGTGCTTTTAGTTCCTCGTCCTCTGCCTGGCCACGCTCGTCATAGCAGAAATTCCATTCCCTGAGCCTCCAAGCCTGGAGAGCTTTGACTCAGAGCCAGCCCAGAACATGCCCGAAGTGGATGTGAAGATCATTCCCACCCATATTGATATCGCGAAATTGAGGTAAGCCTTTCTTACAGTTATTTCGCAGTGCATTATTAGGTCGGCTAAAAAATAGTTTTGTTGGACGGATTGTAGAGAAGTTGCAAACAAATTTTTTATAGATTTGTTTTTTGAGAAAATTTTTTATGGGAAGTAGATGATCAAACTGTTCGAAGAAAAATTATTATACTGATGGCGAAAAAGTGTGGGGGAAAAGTGATATACCTAATCTTCTCATCAAACTTTCGCAAATGTATGCCTCAAAAGTCGAACGAAGTTTGGATGTAAAATTTCAAGCCTTGCGGTAGATCAGCGATTAGTGGAACCTAAAAGAAATGGAACAGATTACTTAGTTCACAGATCCTTTAAATGTATGTACTTGCCCTACCACGGTCCTTTGAACCTCTACCTTCCATTGCTTCTATTAAAAAAAGGGCAGATAATGATTTGTGTTCTTTGTACTTGCAAGATTGCCTTTCTCACTTTCATTTCCATTTCTACCTAATAAAGAAATACAATAAAGAAAGCTAGCAAGTGAAATTCTATTCCACGCAATCACTGCAAAGCTTTTTCACTCAACCATGACCATCGTTTGCCAAGTTTACCATAGGTTGCGAGTTTTTATGATCATTTGAAGGGCAGTGATTTCCGCAAGGCCACGACTTGATGAATCGCGGGTCAGCTGAGTTCATTTCGAACATAGTCAATAAAAACATATGTGATGACAATGAAGAGGTGGTGCCCTACGATAAGTGCTCGAAGAACTATATATGCTGCAAAATATCGAGGTTTACGTAATTATTGCAAACAGCCCGTCGAACAACATAATTAGCAAAAAAAATTATCCAGAGGTATCAGCTAGGTCAAAAATCAACTAATCCAGACCGCTGATGTAAAGACTTTTCAAAAATAGTACGAGTAAAGTAGAATTTGGATGCAATTCATTCACAGACCGTCAAGTCACTTGCAACAACGCGTGTTGCATACCATGCTCGCGACTTGACGACTTGTAAGATTAATGCCTATCATTTCTAGTGATTTCTCCTCGTTTCCTTATTTTTTTTTTGATCTGATTGGATATGTAATAGGTACTGCTACATATTTCTATTCGTAAAAGAAAAGGGAATTTCTAGAAGGTTTTTCTGAGAAGTTACTGATTAAGGTGTCGTCGGTTGCCGCGCATAGTGTGCGGACTCACAAATTATATTATAAATAACTTGAAGATGTATTTATTTCTGAAGATGATGAAGTTTATTTTTCAGAGAGGCTTACGCCAAAGTGAGCGCCGGAGAACGTTTTCTTCCCGGACCAAGTCGTCTTCCATTCGAATTCTTTGAGCAACGACGCAAGAGAAAATAACTTTCATACAAGTATATTGAAGTATAGTGTACATAGCTCTAAATAACAATCACTATCTCGGTGAAACGATCAAGTGACTAAGCATCTGATGTGTATTATAATAAACTCACTTATTTTTCGTTTAGAAAATTCTAGAAAAAATTGCAAATTCTCAATATCATGACACGGGAACTATTGACACAAAGGCTATAAGCTCTCATGTATTATTCTTTGCATTCAGTACAGCATACCGTCTGTAAGTAAGTATGTAAGCGTGCGATCTCATCGCTCAAGTGGTTAGCCGATATGTGATCTGACATTCGCAGAATCATTTGTATGCAAGTGTAAAAGCAAACACAGATGATACAAAGACGTACCGGTCTTGCAAGCAGACCTGTATTGATAATAATGGAGTCGATAATGATCTGCGGGGAGATCCATCTGGAAGTCACATTCAACATAGAAAAGATAAGGCGTCTGATTCACGACTTCGCATGTGATAGCAAATAAAAATTTGAAGAACTGAACTTACTGTAATCCAGAATTGGAAACGCTACTGAGCCTATAATATAGTGACTAAGAATTTTTATCCTCACAACAAGACATTGAGATCACTTTGATCTGATCGAACATACTCTCGAAAGTTACTGCTCTCAAACCACCCTTGTTTTCCAATAAAAAGTTTTGGTATTCTCGAATTTCTTGCGATCTAAACCTATTACATGGCATGATAGCCTTTTCAAAAAAATTGTCTCTTTGTTGTTGAAAGCCATAATTAGCTTTTGAAATATAAGAAAATCGAATTGGTTCTACTTACCGCTAGAAGCAATCGCGGAAGTAGTTTAAAGGCAGTGTTTTAGTAGAATTTCGTTCTACTTCTCACGTTTTCGAAGCCTTCTCACCATGAGGGATGTATATCTGGGCTTTCCAGCTCATGATGGTCGAAACGAGCTTTTCCTGAAGCTTTCCAGGTCCGCATTCAGTGAAGTTACCGTAAGTCTTGCGCCTCGCCTCCTTCGTTTCTGGCCCTGCCCACTAGCACGTATTCTGCACTAAATGCCAACCTAAAGATCTTCGAGAAAAGCCCATTCTCGCCATTTTCATGACTGGAAAGCCCAGATATGGGTTCTTTATAGTGAGAATGCTACGTAAAGGTGAAAATCTGGAAAGTAAAATTCTGCCGAAACACTGCATGTATCGTCCTTTCACACAGCCGTTGCGGCCCTCACTTGCGGACTAGGATGCGGGCTGGTCAAAGTCGATAAACAGCTGATTTTTCTCCATCCATCCACATTGATAGGAGTGATCTCTCGCTACCAAAACCGCGCCGCTTCCGAGGAGCAACGGCTTGCCCGCTACGGTCGTGTGATCAGGCCATAACAGAAACCAACCAAAGTCATGATCACGTCTGCAACGTTATCATAAACTAGCTGGCTTACCCGGCTCCGCCGTATGTTCCGAATAGAAAATTCCATTTCTGAACCGATCCGGACCAAACTTGGCACACATACACTTCGGGCCCCGGCGGGTGTCATCACAGTCCACTTTTCGTTATCGATTGATGTCGATGTTATCGAATTTTTGCAAAATTTGAGCTAGGGGGCTGGAATTTGGCAGAGGAGTGTAGTCGAGCATGCTGATCACCCCCACGGGGGTGATCAGCATGCTCGATTACCCCCATGTGCCAACTCCCAGCCCTGTAGCTCAAATTTTGCAAAAAATCGATAAAATCGATATCGATCGATGACGAAAAGTAGCCTATGACACCCGCCGGGGCCCGAAGTGTATGTGTGCCAAGTTTGGTCCGGATCGGTTCAGAAATGGAATTTTCTACTCGGAACATACGTACATACATACATACAGACATGCATACAGACATACAAACAGACATTCAGCTTTATATATAAGAAGATTTGCTGGCTAGAAAGGATTCAATTGAAAAGCTTCAATCAGTGTTAACTGGTAAAGTTTTGCGTTTTTTAGTTCATGGTATTCTATGCTATAGATGGAGGGTACAATTCTACTGATTTCCTTGCTTCTATTGCCCAAACAACATACAAGGTTTCCAGTTCAATTTGATGAGTAAACAAAAAATCTCTCAACTGTTCATTTTCTCTAGTTTCCAGTTTTTACCGATGAAATCTTCACGAAAAACTTGATAGTGAGCAGAAGCAAGCTAATCACCTACGTACTACTTCGATTACTTACGAGTTTCCATCTTTTCAACTATCCAAGACCCTTTTTACAATGATCTGCAAGCCAGAATTTTTTGCGATGACATCCCTCGGCTCGCGCACTTTGATTGTGTGCTCATAAATCGTAGGATTTTCGAGTAAAACTTCTACAGTCATGACAGTAATCAAAGACCATGCAGATCTAAAAGGCACGTAAACACTATATGGAAACCTTCCAACAAAAAATGGTCAAAAATGGGATAAACTTATGATATCAAGCTGCTGTCACATCGCAGAACAAAGATTTATAGAAAATTTTGGTAGACTCGATGTATAAATTCATTTTCTTTCAAAGGTTTGAGTTTCTGTCGCAGACATTGACTGAGCTCCTAAAAATCCTGAAATACATGCTTTTTGCTATGATCGAGTTTCGTAATTTTAAAATTTTTTATACTGATTACCCAAAGAAGCCCAAGTAACAGTTTATAACCGTTCAGCAAACTCTACAAGGTAAAAAACAATTTGTTCCCCTTTCAAGGTTGGCCTTACAGATTTTTGAAACTATATTTGGCCAACTCAAACCTCATGGAGCAGCCTTAACCCGGCGAGCAACCAGATGTCATTTGGTGCAGCACTTCCTCGCCTTCTAAAAGTGTTTTTTGTTCCGATTCGTAAAGTCAGGGATAAAATCAACATAATTTGAACGCACTTCATGTACCCAAAAGAGTCGAGATCTCATATTTCGAATCCTCAAGCGCTCACTTGCTTTCAATTACTGTTGAATCATGGTACACTTTCGAAAGGTCCGAATTTGTTTCGATGCTTATGGTGTTTGACGCGTTTGTGCTTATATAGACCTGACCTGAGATTCTATCAAAAAATTACAACGAGCTATGGAAAGCAGGAAAAAAAAGCTTTGTATGCTTTGAAGTTTGCTCTATCCACCGTTACTTCGACATCGAGAGTTCGGTGCAAAAATTGAGAAAAATAACACTAAACTATGGCAACAAGCATGGAGTTTAGATTCTGGTGATTTTCAAGAACTCCTTCATTGCACTGCAGTAGAAACATAAGTATGTGAAAGGGAATGGAAAGATGCACCGAAAGCTGGCAAACTCTTCTATCAATTCTATTCTAAGAATTGTGGCATCCGTGCCAAACCTTCGGGACGACCTATTATAACCTAGTAATCTGAATTCATTACGGCAGCCAAAATTTGATAGAAACCGATCTCACTTGACTTTACTGCAGTTTAAGAGAACTTTCCTCCTTTATATATTGTTAGAGAGAATGATATGCTCTGATCGTTCTATCAAAATAGAAATAAAAAAGAATACAAAATAGAAATAAAAAAGAATATAATAGGGGCACCAAGGAAGCTGCACTACCGGTATAGTTCTTAGCCTCGAAACCGGATAGTGTTAAATTAGAAACAAAACACTGTAGTGAAATTCTTGGTTGTCTTTATTGATTTAACGCTAAACTTTCACATTTTTCCATATAATGACTTATCCGAGCAGAATACAAGAAGGTCGAAAGCCAGAGCCTTCGACGTGATGCAGCAACATTAGAGAGGATTGAGATTAAAAAGTATGCAATAAACAAGTCATTGGCACATTTTTATTTTAAAAATTCGCAACCCATTCTTGAGGGGGGGGGGCACAACTACGCGCATATTGAAAACGCACACTGAAATGCCAATTTGAACATTTCAGCTCTTTCGTAGTCATTTTGGGAGCAAAATTTGGCTGTCAATTGAGCAAATCTTACAAAGTCATGGCGTAATCTCACAAATGAGAAGCGATCGGCGATTCGATTTGTACTCAAAGGCAGTATTCAGGCTAAATCTAACCCCCCCCCCCCGGTTAGCGCCGATCCTAAATGTAGGCCCTAGGAGAAGGACATCTGCGTTGGTCCCATCCTCTAATGTTGTCTCTGAATGGAGATAATGGACCTGGAACCGCGAAATTGTTTCAAGCCACGCCCAGATCCTACCATGCTCCGCCCAGCAAGGGACTGCCTCGCCACACGACACGTACTGACATGGTAGTGAGCAGAAGCTGCACACTGCTGCAACTGCACCCATGCAGTTGCAGCTCCTCCCCACTGGCATGCCGACGGGGGCGAGCAATCCGAAATTCGTCCGCGCCCTCAAAGGCAGTGGCTCGGCAAGCCACTGTCTCAACCTAGTCAAATTTGCGCTTACCTGGGGTTTTTCAATACGCTGATTCCGAAAATCCACTTTTGAAAGCTTGAAAACGGCGAAAATGAGCTTTTTTCAATGCTCTTTACTTTGGAATTGGACGAGTGGAGCAGGGCCGACGACGCTAAATCGTGGGACCCAATGGTTATAGCGTTGCGGCGGGCAGCCTCCAATGGTGAGAAACAAATTGCCAACCCGTCCAGATGCGTGTAAGATTGGCCTGCGCGTGTAAGTTTGAGAGCGATTTTCTCGGCGGGGAAAGCATGCTGTGCAACCGGGATTGCACTGTTTTCATACTTGGGCGATAAGGAACCTACCGCGTTAAAATCCCAAGTTGTTGGATTTTGCCGATCCACTGCCTTCAAGACGGCTCCCCAGAAATCGGGTTTTTTGAGGGGGGGGGGGGATTTTGAACAATCTGAACTTTACAACTGTAATTGGGGCCACGGAAAAGCCCCGGAATGACAAAAACATGGGCGGCAAAATTTTGGGTGGACGCTGCCTTTAAGTTCGTGTCCTGCAATAAAGTACGTTGTTTCGCAAAAGTTATAAGACAGAAGAGTTTTCAAAAACTGTTTGTCTTACCGTAATCGTACGAGTAATTCTTCCTCTAACAGTCTTACCTTCTTACAAGGAAAGGATACTCGATCGCAGTGACGGTTGGGTAAACGGTGTATGCCGCGTATACCGTCCCCAGACGGTGATCTCTAAACTGCACTCCATACCTGCTATGACATCATTTTGGAAGAGCTATAAACGATTTTTGGTGCTGCAGGCGCATTCAAGTACCAGACTTGCATCCATTGGTGCAGTGGTCGAGTGGTGCAGTGGATAGTGGCTTGGACTGTTGAGGTGGATGTCATGGGTTCGTGTCCCCTCGGATGCCGCTGGTTTGCACTTTTGCGAAATCCTACATAGCTTTTCCAGAATGACGTCATAGCAGATATGGAGTAAGGTTTAGAGATCACCGTCTGGGGACGGTATACGCGGTATACACCGCTTACCCAGTCGTCACTGCGATCGAGTATCCTTCCCTTGTTAGAACAGTGTGTACAGTCTTGTAGATCTCTTTGCTTATGTGCGCAGTGCTCTTATTGTTAGGTGAAAAATGCAAGAAATGTAGCAATTTACGCTTATCCAAACACGACTACGTACAACAACAATACCAAGATCAGGGCCCAGCCTTTTACAGAAAATGTGCGATTGCACACATCAGCACAAAATACTAGGTTGGCTAATAAATAATTTCGGTTGGTTTTGCGGCTCCTACAGATGCTGCAGACAATTTTTGTCCACCATTCGGTACCGTTGGAAAGGGCACTTTAATAAGAATTGGAACATAGAATCTATTCGAGTGGAATTCATTTTGCTATAAAAGAATCCCGCAAGGAAGTGAGAATCTCCAGTTTTCTCATTGTGCACAAATATGCGAAAATTTGATTATTTTGGTCAAAGAAATTTAAAACGGCAGATCACTATTTTAATTGGTAGCCGTTAAGTAGGGAAAACTTGTCTGCATCCAAATACCAAATTGCTGTTCTCTGTATCATTGGAGCTTCGAAGCTTCTAAAGTCGCAGAACTGAGCTTTTGGAATTTTAGCCTCGTCAGGGCATAATTGTTCCTTACTAGTAATTCAAAATACTGAATAGTTGATGTGTAATAGAAGCTTTGAACTATTTACGCACAAAATATCATGGATAAAAAGCAACCAGGAAAGTTTTTGTGAAGATTCTTATGCCAAAACGAAATTATTTTGGCCAACCTAGTATATTCGTCGTTAGGTAGGCGCCAGACTGCCGATCGTCGTGCTTCAGCAAGACTCGGCACATTTATGTCATTTGGTGTCACGTTGGAAGGGAAATAAGTCGGCATCCGCGATTTCTCTACAACAAACATTTCTTCAATGGTCTTTTTTATGATTGTCTCATGCTGCGAGGCTTTTTTTTTAAATTATTTCTTCAGAACTACTGTTGTAGCCATCGCAGACGCCACGATACCCGTCCAACGTGACGCCAAATAACATCAGTTTACTAGTTGCGCCGCGTCCTGGTGAAGCAGGCATTCGGCTAGTCTGGCGCTTACCTTATTTGATGAACGGCGAGCTCGAAACTCCAAATGCAATATTCTACAAGACTGATGTGGCCAAGATTGACGATTCTCATCAACAGTGCCATAATACTCACAAAACCTAGCTTCACGTCAAAATTGTCTCAAATCACAACGGGCAGTCCACAGTTCTTGCTCACAGTCTCAAAGTGCCCACTTCAGCTGTCTCATTAATTTCCCAGAATCGCTGCACAGGGTGAAAGCTGTGGTTGCTGGCTAAGAATAGTGCTGGATTAACGTGCTACCCCGGTGATTGAGCTCGACAGATTGTTCAGCATCGGGCGACGCTGTGCAGCTTCTTTCAGTGCATTGTCGCGCGCGCGAGGATCTCTGTTTGCGCCATCGAGTGGCTGTCGTCGGTTCGACGAGATCCGCATGTTTGCCGTCGATGCTGATTGGATGCTCGCGGATCCAGGAGCGGTGCTGCGAAGCCCGTGTGGCTGTACGCAAGGGCCACCCCCGCCCCCGTCTCGGCTCTGCCCCGCCAGCTCGCCCCGTCGAGGATCGGCTCATACACGCTGCCAACTGTCTCCGGCGCGGCACGCACTTCTTCCCGAGTACCCGCTAGTGCAGCTACAGCAGTTCCCTTGCCAGCATCATGGACTACGAAAACGATCCCGGATGGCGATATTTGCGCCAATCGCGAGATGATATGCTTAAGGTAGACCTTAAGAATATACCTATAACCCAAGTACTGTCAAGATTATTTCGTAATCTCTTCGTTCCAGGACCAAAGCAAACCCTACGACTCAAAGAAGAACTGCTGGGTTCCGGATGAGGAAGAAGGCTATGCAGAGGCCGTCATCGTCAAAAAAGACGGTAACATGGTTACCGTAACAGTTGGTATGGGCGCTGAGGTAAGACCAATAACCTGGCGGCAATTATCAATCTCTCAGTCTTTGATCGTTGCCTATTATGAAGGAGCTCCCGATCGGGCGATGCCAATAAAGAATGACAGATTGATAGCAAGGGCTCCTGGAAATTGAGAACAAAGGTAAAGCTCCTACATCTTTTGTTTTCAGAAAACGTTCAAGGCGGAGCTGATCCAAGAGATGAATCCTCCAAAATTCGAAAAAACCGAGGACATGTCCAATTTGACATTCCTTAACGACGCTTCTGTACTACATAATCTTCGAGCACGATACTCATCTATGCTTATTTACGTTAGTTTTCTCTCTTTCCTTAATGAACTCTCATCCTAAGAAATTCTACGAAATCTCTAATCCCAGCCACTTTGCTCACTTTTTTCTTCTCTGCTAGATTTTGTTTGCTTAGAGTGCGGAGGCGGACACATCCTTGCGCAAAGTTCTCGAGAAAATCCGTTGAGAGCTTGAGAGTTGAGAGCGATGGGATAGGTCTTCTATTGTTTAAACAATAACTAGAATTACAGTAACAAAGCACATTGCACAAAGGTTACGGTAGATGTTGCAAAAACTTAGGGGAGGGGGCAAATCAGGCTTAAAATGTAGTTTGCGCGTTTAAATAATGCGAACTATTGTAGTAAACTCTATGGAGAATACAGCTCAACAGATTTAGGAACTGTTTGAGCGGCATAGTGACGTAAATATTAAGGAAGCTCCATTTATAAAATTTCTAATCAATTTTTATAGCCAGAGGGCTCATTCAACACATTTTGAGATGAGAAAGTGGCGTGCTTTTACATATAATTGGTGCCAAAACATTTCGTTCTGATATTAAGTACGAATATATAGGGAGTCCCAAAAGTATGTATAGAATATTTTTGTTAATTTCCATCCTTGTTTTCTGGGCTTTTAGGTATGATTTTGTAGAGTTAGCTACAACTTAAAACCTCTGTAAAGCGAATTAGCAACTCATTATACCGTGGGGTTACGGTACGAACTTCCAACACATTAGCTTCATTGTGCCCAAGCCCCTTGACATATACCCGGACCTTGACAAGGTAATTCCCATGAAAAATGCAGCGAATCGAAGAAAATTCATAGGGTGGTGATTCATACATATTTCTCAACATATTTTCTCAAATTGAAGTTCTATTCAGACTTACTCCGGTCTCTTCTGTGTTGTAATCAATCCCTACAAAAGACTGCCGATCTATACCGATTCCGTTGCCCAGATGTTCATGGGAAAGCGAAAGTAAGGCAAACTCTTAGATTTGTAAGCGCGGGCGATATATATTTGAAATAATGTAATTCTTTCCCAGGACGGAAATGCCACCCCATTTGTTTGCCGTATCCGATGAAGCCTACCGTAATATGCTTATCAATAAGGAAAACCAATCTATGCTTATCACTGGCGAATCTGGAGCCGGAAAGACTGAGAACACAAAGAAAGTGAGTTAAAGCCTAGAAATATCTCCGAATGGTTCAAAAAACAAATTTTGCCTATAAGTTTTATGGAATCAAAGCATTCCAAAATTTGCCATTTTAGTCATTAGAAAAATGGTTGGAAAGCCGAAAAATCAAAAACAAATAGAACAAACAACACTTTGTAATATTAAAGTGATTTCCAAAAATTCCAGGTAATTTCCTACTTTGCCGCTGTCGGTGCCTCTCAACAAGATATGTTTGGCAAAAAAGAAGAAACGAAACCAGATGTCAAAAAGGTTACCCTAGAAGACCAAATTGTACAGACTAACCCCGTGCTGGAAGCTTTCGGTAGGTTACGGTGAATTTTTGCGAATTTTGATGCTTGAAATGGGTTACCTCCAGGTAATGCCAAGACCGTGCGTAACAACAACTCGTCTCGTTTCGGAAAATTCATTCGAATTATGTTTTCGAATAAAGGACGTGTGGCATCTTGCGATATCGAGCACTGTAAGTCGCAGTTACCGTAACCCTACAGTAATCATCTGTCCACATGAATCGGTTTAGATCTGCTGGAGAAGTCTCGTGTGATTCGTCAAGCACCCGGTGAACGTTGTTACCACATTTTCTATCAGCTCTTCTCTGGACATTTGCCAAATCTGCTCAAGGTTGGCCCTATTTTCAGACCTGCGAAGTTCATGCGATAATTTTTTTCGTTCTAGGACCTACAATTGAACAAACCTGTAGGTGAATACTATTTCGTTGCTCAGGCTGAGTTGAAGATTGATGGAGTTAATGATAAGGCAAGTTTTCGACCAAGCAAAAAAAAATTGAAACGTAACTTGAGAATTAGCAAAATTTTTGCATACTCTACTTTGTGCGACTCAAAGACAGAAAATTATTTCAATGCTATATTTTTAGGAAGAGTTTGCTCTCACCGATGAGGCCTTCGACATCCTTAAATTCACGCCAGAAGAAAAGATGAATTGCTATAAACTAGTTTCCGCAATGATGCATATGGGTAACATGAAATTCAAACAGCGACCCCGTGAAGAGCAAGCTGAACAGGATGAGACTGAGGGTACTGTAATTCTGCTTTCCATGTACGGTATTGCCGAATTTGTTCTTTTGCAGAAGCTACACTTGCTGCTGAAATGTACGGTGTCGAAATGGAGGAGTTGGTGAAAGCTTTGTTGCGCCCTCGTGTCAAAGTCGGAAATGAATGGGTGAACAAAGGACAGAATCTGGAACAAGTGAGTGCAAACGATCTCCCTAGAGATTTTTGGGTGTGGACCGATTCGCACGACCGTAAGAATATCCATACGGGACCGCCCTCAAGCGCCAAATAGTATATACGGCGGGGATCGCCGCGTGTGCAACATGACGAGACAAGTTAAGCTTGGCCGCTAGATACAGTCGTGCGAGAAGGTTTCCCAAAGATTTCTTCCTAAAATGATCATTTAGGTGAACTGGGCCATCGGAGCCATGGCTAAGGGTCTCTACTCTCGAATCTTCAACTGGTTGGTGAAGAAATGTAACCAAACTCTTGATCAAAAGGGTATCTCTCGTGACTTCTTCATCGGTGTGCTCGACATTGCCGGTTTCGAAATTTTTGATGTGAGAAATTTCTGGAAAAAATCATTGCCCTAATCCAACATTTTAGTTCAACTCATTCGAACAACTATGGATTAACTTTGTAAACGAAAAGCTGCAACAGTTCTTCAACCACCATATGTTCGTCTTGGAGCAGGAAGAGTATGCTCGCGAGGGTATCGACTGGGTATTCATTGACTTCGGTCTCGATTTGCAAGCATGTATCGAGCTGATTGAAAAGGTAAAGGTCATATTTTGGAAAATGCTGAGGGTTATTTGCAAGGGAATTTTGTCCACGGGCAATTTTTTGGCGATTTTTTGTGCCAAAAAAATCATATTTCATAGCCAGGCGAAGAAGTGGGGAAGCAATTTTCACCTCAATTATGGCGTAACCATGAAACAAGTGAGATTAGGAAGAAATACATTAAGAATAGGGATAGAGTGCTGCTGAAGTGTGCCACATGTCGCAAGCTCTTGTCTCCGGAAACATTTTTACCGTTTTCCCCGTAATTTGCTAGAACTGCCGTCACAGCATCACAGTAGCCTATTGTTACAAGGGTAATTTTCGTCTTTAGAAAGTTCAGAAATAATTCTGCTTTAAAGTATAAATAAGTCACTTGCACAATTTTATAATGTGACTTTCAAAAATTTTCAACCTATTCTCGGGGGAGGGGAGGGGGGGGGGGGGGATCTCGGCCCATTGCTGTGAGCTAGTGCCGAACTAAGCGAACAGTAACGGGAGAACCTTTTTACATTATTAAGAGCTTAGATATCAGCATGATAAAACTGCAAAATTACAGCCTCTTGGTATCCTGTCAATGCTGGATGAAGAGTGTATTGTGCCAAAGGCTACCGATTTGACTTTGGCCCAGAAGCTCGTTGAGCAACATTTGGGCAAACATCCGAACTTTGAAAAGCCCAAGCCGCCAAAGGGCAAGCAGGTAAAGCGATTTTGTCTTGGTAGCACGTTTTGGAGCATAAAAAAGACATTTTGCAGTCCGAAGCTCACTTTGCCATGAAACACTACGCCGGAACTGTGCGGTACAATGTGTCGAACTGGCTGGAGAAGAACAAGGACCCTCTGAACGACACCGTCGTACAGGTGATGAAGAACTCGAAGAAGAACGCGTTGCTGGTCGAGGTCTGGCAGGACTACACCACCCAGGAGGAGGCCGCTGCAGACACGAAAGGTATCGTTACGCAAGGGCCTTGATGAGTGGTTGTCGCTTGATTGTGTCGCTTAGCACATCCAGGAGGGAAAAAGAAGGGCAAGTCCGGATCGTTCATGACGGTTTCGATGTTATATCGTGAATCGCTGAACAATCTGATGACTATGCTTAACAAAACACATCCGCACTTCATTCGTTGCATCATCCCGAACGAGAAAAAAGCATCAGGTCAGCTTTTTTGAAAACGAAGGTCGCGGGCGATTCGCGCGACCGTATGCAGTCTCCATGCAGGACCGCCTCGCGCAACAAGCCGTGCGGCATTCGCCGCGCGCGACTGTTAAGACGTCACGAGGGGCGCTGCTGGATACTGTCGTGCGGAAAGGCCTCCTCCGCAAAAACCAAACCTCAAAAACGACTTTGATTACCTGAACTACTCTTATTTCAAGGAATCATCGATGCTGGACTAGTACTGAACCAGTTGACTTGCAATGGTGTGCTTGAGGGTATCCGTATTTGCCGTAAAGGTTTCCCTAACCGAACCCTGCATCCGGACTTCGTGCAACGTTATGCCATCCTGGCGGCCGACGAAGCTCTTAGAGGCAAAGCAGACCCCAAGGTAGGCAAAAAATCGATATATTGATTGATTTCCGCAGAGGCAAATGCTGTATGCGTTTTACAGAATGGAGCCACAGAGATGTTGGCTCGTCTAGTGAAAGAGAATAAACTTCAAGATGACAATTTCCGAGTTGGCCTCACCAAAGTTTTCTTCAAGGTGAGGAGAATATTTTACAAAAAGAAATAAAAAAAGGAGGATTCAACTTTTTAGGCTGGTATCGTTGCCCATCTTGAAGATCTACGTGATGTCCGTCTAGCTGAACTTATCACCGGATTCCAAGCTCAGATTAGATGGTACTACCGTTTGGTACGTTTTTTTTTCTTATACTTTGCCATTCACTCACTAGCGAAGCGTACATACTGCAATTACAGATCGACAAAAAGCAACGTATCGAAAGAAATGAAGCCATGAAACTTGTGCAGAAAAATGTTCGCCATTGGGCTATGCTACGTACATGGTCATGGTTCAAACTTTATGGCAGAGTAAGAAAATATAAGCGCTGGTGATCTTTACTCAACTGAATCTCCTTTGTTCAGGTCAAGCCACTTATCCAATCGGGTAAGATCGAGGAACAGTATGAAAAGCTGCAGGAGACCGTAGCACAGATGAAGGAAGCATTGGCACAACAGGAGGAGATGTCCAACCAGATTGCCGAAAAGGCGGAGAGCGTCCAGAAGGAGATTTCTGAACTATTGTCACAGCTTGAGGCTACTCGTGGAAGCAATACGGTAACTATGAAAATATTTTGATTCCTTGGAACTGAGTAATGTTGGCATTACAGGAAATTGAAGAGCGCATGTTGATGATGAACGAACAGAATTCTACACTTGAGGCGAAGGTAACTGAAACCAAGGCTCGTCTTGAAGCTGAAGAAGCTACCGCTGCCGAGCTTCTGAAGGAAAAGAAACGTATCGAGGCCGAAGCTGCTGAACTCAAGAAAAGCTGCCAGGTAAGATTACGCACTGTTCGGAGAGAATCCATGCTAATTTGAGTACCAAGACCACTAATGTAGAACTGATAGGGAAGTCCTAACTGAGGCAGCGTCCAGATTTGCTCGTGCGGGAGGAGGGGGGCCAGAGCCGTTCCGGTGCCGTGCCGAACCCGTATCGATCAATGTCACGACATGGCATCTGCACGGGGCCGGCGAGAGCAACTTTAAACGGGAGCAAATTCTATTCATGCGCCCCCTCACATTATTTATTTCTGTTCAAATTTCGACTCTAAAATCTCGCCCAAATCGTACTTATATTAAGCGGACCAAAGCCCCTCGATTACGATTAATTGACCGTTTAGGATGTCGAGTTGACATTGCGCAAAAGCGAAGCCGAAAAGCAGGCTAAGGAACATCAGATCCATACTCTACAAGATGAAATGCATCAGCAGGATGAGAGCATCTCCAAGCTGCATAAGGAACGCAAGAATCAAGAAGAAATGAATAAGTTTGTGGAAGATTACATTAGCTTTTCTTAAAAATCCTCTATTTCTTCAGGAAATTGACCGAAGAGTTCCATGCAGCCGAGGAAGCAAACATGGCCTCAAACAAATTAAAGGCTAAACTCATGCAAACTATGGAAGAATCTGAAGCCACTCTTGAACGCGAGAAGCGAAACCGAGCCGATATGGACAAGGTATATTAGCATGCTCGAAATGACAACTTTTACAACTGGATAAGACTTTTAGGCGAGAAGAAAGGCTGAAGGTGATTTGAAGATCGCTCAAGAAGAAATGGACGAGTTAACGAAAGCCAGAAGCGATGTGGAGAACAGTCTGCGGCGCAAGGAGACCGAGCTTCACAACCTTGGCATCAAGCTCGAAGATGAATCGGCTGCTGTGGCCAAGCTACAGAAAGCAGTACAGCAGGACGAGGCTAAAGTGAAGGATTTGAGCGATCAATTGGCTGACGAAAAGGTTGGAACTGCTATATTTTTCACGAAAAAAAACTTTATAGAAAAAGAGTTTTTAGGAAGCTCGTGACCGTGCTGACAGAGCTCGCTCGGAACAGCAAGCCGAATACGATGAGCTCAGTGAAACATTGGATGATCATGCTCGCGCCACCGCTGCTGAGATTGAGCTCGGAAAGAAAAAAGTGAGAAATTTTTCGATCTTCGAAAATAAAATATATTCTTTTAGGATACCGAAATCGCCAAACTCCGTCGTGACCTCGAAGAAGCCGGTTTGAAATTCGGCGAACAACTTACCGCCCTAAAGAAGAAGGGGGCTGACGCTGTGCAAGAACTCTCTGAACAGATTGAGCAGCTCCAAAAAGCCAAGGCCAGAGCTGAAAAAGAGAAGGCCCAAATGCAGCGCGAATTCGACGAGGCTTCCACTGCCCTCGACCATGAGGCCAAGGCTCGCATTGAGCAAGAACGTATCGCCAAACAGCACGAGGTTATGCTTCTGGAGCTCCGTCTCAAAGCTGACGAACAGTCACGCCAACTGCAAGACTTCGTCTCGGCCAAGGGACGTCTCAACTCCGAGAATGGCGATCTTGTTCGCCAAGTCGAAGAGCTTGAGGGTAAAATCCAAGCGGCCACGAGGCTGAAGATTCAGTTCTCCAACGAACTTGACCAAACTCGACGCACTGCCGAGGAGGAAGGCCGTGAGCGACAAAATCTCAACAACCTATCGAAGAATCTTACTCGCGAGCTCGAACAGCTTCGTGAGTCCATCGAGGATGAAGTGGCCGGGAAAGCCGAGTCTACTCGCCAGCTGCAGAAGGCACAAACGGAATTGGATCAGTGGAGAACCAAGTTCGAAACGGAGGGTCTCATCGGCGCTGACGAGTTCGACGAGGTGAAGAAGCGACAGAATGCTAAAACCAGCGATCTTCAGGATGCGCTTGATGCAGCGCATGCCAGAATCGTAGCTCTGGAGAATGCACGCAGCCGGTAAATTGACCACTTTAGGGAAAAACGAAATTTCAAACTATATATTCAGTTTGACCGCTGAAGCCGATACCAACCGACTCGAAGCCGAACACCATGCTCAGGTTGTTTCCTCGTTGGAGAAGAAGCAGAAGGCGTTCGATAAGGTTATTGATGAATGGAAGAAGAAGGTAAGAAAACAAAAAATTTTGAGATGGTACCCTAGGTCTGGAAGAACTTAAAGACTCCGTCCAAAGTTAGTCGTGCCAGCTCCGTCCCGCGCCGTGCCAGGTATGCTAGCACCGCGCCGAACTGTGCCGGCGAGACCAATCGTTCGATATCGGCACGGCTGCGGTACCTGGGCAACTCTGAACGTAGTCTTAAGAGATTTCAAGGAATTATTTTTGATATTTTGAAACAAAAAGAAAAACACAAGACGCAGTTTCAAAAACGTTTTCTTGCAAAACCTAAAATGGAAAGGTGATGTAGCATTGCAGGAATCTGTGGTACAAATACTCATTCAAAAAAAAGTGAGCCATTATTCAGGTTGACGACCTTTACGTTGAACTGGATAATGCCCAGCGCGAGTCGCGTCAGCTCTCGAGTGAAGCACACAAGCTTCGCGGACACCATGATGCCCTTGTCGATCAAGCTGAAGGACTGAAGAGAGAGAATACAGCTCTTGCTGCTGAGGTAGGGAGAGACCTTGCGCAAAATGATTAGCAAAAATGTTATTTTTTCTAGGCCAAAGATCTAACGGAATCACTGGGAGAAGGTGGACGTGCGGCTCACGCTTTGTCAAAGAACCTGCGTCGCTTGGAAATGGAAAAGGAAGAATTGCAAAGAGGCCTGGATGAGGCAGAGGTAAGTGGCTAAATCCCTGCAGTTTCAAACATGCAAATCGTCTCCTAATGCTCGAATTCTACCTTCAGGCAGCCCTGGAAGCTGAAGAAAGCAAATCGCTCCGATGCCAGATTGAAGTCACCCAGATCCGAGCCGAAATCGAGAAGCGCATAGCTGAAAAAGAGGAAGAATTCGAAAACTCGCGTAAAGTTCACCAACAAACCATCGACAGCATCCAAGCCACACTGGAATCCGAAACTAAGGCCAAGGCAGATTTGTTCCGTGTGAAGAAGAAGCTCGAAGCTGACATCAACGAGCTCGAGATTGCCTACGACCATGCAAATCGCGCTAATGAAGATGCACAGAAGAATATCAGGTCAGAAAAGGTTGTCGAACCGGTCAGTGTATTGAAAACCAAGTTTAGACGTTACATGGATCAGACGAGAGAACTCCAGCAGACCATCGACGAGGAACAGAAAAGACGGGAGGAATTCAGGTAAAGAACATTTTGATCGATGGAGTCAATGATTGTATTATATTTCAGAGAACTACTTCTGGCTTCGGAACGAAAATTGGCAGCTGCTAAACAAGAACAAGAGGAATGTGTTGTGAGACTTGAGTCTGTAAGTTATCGTTCCATGATTTATGCACAAGAATGATTTCTGGGTCATTAAAGGGTTAAAGAAGGAGTAAGAGCTCTAGTTCTGTGCAACGTGATATTCTGGCTCAAATGGTGCTCTCGCGGTGTAGACAACATTTTCGCCTGAACAAATGGTCGCAGCTCGCAAAAGTCAAAATGCTTATATAGTCACATTAGAGCATACCAAATTTTCATCACTACATGCATATAACAATATACCGTCAACCTATGGCACCTGCCATACTTGATCCTCTTGATCCACTTGATCCGCTTGATTCGCTTCGTGCAAAACTCGCGCACATAGCAGTTTGTCATTTGGCGCTGCGTAGGTAAAAGGGAATTTTGTATGGTTACGGCAAATACGCTATACGCGACGCCAAATGACAAATTAGTGACGCGCGTTTTGCACGAAGCGGATCATGCGGATCAAGCGGATCAAGAGGGTCAAGTATGGCGGGTGCCTTAGTGGGAGATAAACGAATGCTAACAAGGGAAGGATACTTGGATGCCGTAGCCATTCATAATGATTTGTACACCAAAAAATGCGCTTTTGAATGCTGGTTCGTAGACTGTCTTTCATATCTGCGAAACGATAATCTGAATGGAGTTATGATTTTTTTTCATTAAAAAAATCGCGTTTTTGCGGAGGGTCAAAATCATCAATAAAAAAATTTCCTCTCCTTTCCAAATGCTAAGTATGATCCAGATAGTCTAAATAAATATTACTACGTCTAAAATTTTCTTCAGTAGCATCAAACGGTAGGCTAGATCAAATCTGGTGATTTTCACTATCCAAAAGTAGGCTAAATTTTCAAGGAAAAAAGTTCATAACTTTCTTCAAAAGATCGTTTCGCAGATTTCGAGCACAGATTCAAAATCTGCATTCGAAGGCGCATTTTTTGGTATACAAATCATTAGGAATGGCCGCGGCATCCAACTATCCTTCCCTTGTAAGACTCAGAAGCGTCACTGATGCAACGTTTAGCAAAGCCAGTCGTTAGGAAAATTATATGCTTTTGTAGCAATATGCGAAAACGCAGATCATAGTCAAGATTCCAGAAATCAAAGCAGAGCTTCGTAGAATTGCAAAAGCTTAATTGCGTCCAGAACGCGCGTGTGCCAGCACCGTTCCAGCGGCGTGCTGACGCCAAACTAGAAAGTGGATCGATCGATAGGTTTTGCGTCTACGGTTGCAGCACGGCATAAACAAGGCGCTGGGCGGCACTGTCAAGAGCAACCTCGCATGCAGCCTTTTAGAAGACAGTTGTAAATGTACCCTTTGATTCAACAGCTCAGCGCATGAAAGGCGGGGCTTCGTGATTTAATTAAGGCTAGGTAATGATCAGAGAGCACACGCGCGGTAGAGATGCAATCTACGTCTCTTCCCGCGCGCGTGCTCTTTGATCGCTACTTAGCCTTAATTAGGTCATGAAGCCCCGCCTTCCATGCGCCAAGTTAGTTGAATCAAAGAGTAATCGGCAGTTTCCTAGAAAATCCACAAGATTTACGTGTTAGCTTTGATAACGCGTATTTTAGATTGACCGTGCACGTTATACTATCGGACAAACCGTCAAGGAACTCCAGGAGCAAAACACTGAACTTAACTCTCAGAATGTAGCTCTCGCTTCAGCGAAGAGCCAGCTTGACAACGAGATTCAACTTCTACAGGTAGGAAAAACTTCTTGAAGGTTCTTTTTTTCATTCTTTTACCCTGAATGTCAAGGGCGACATTGCTGAGACCCAAATGGAGTTGAATGCTTCGGAAGAACGCGCAAGACGTGCCGCTGCTGATGCTGCTAAGGTTGCGGAAGAGCTTCGTATAGCACAAGAACGTTCGCTTCAGTTGGAAAGAGCCAAGAAACAACTCGAGAGTCAAGTGAAGGTGAGATTAAGAGCTAAGTAGGCTAGCGTAATTGTTCTCTGCCCCCCCCCTTGCAAAACTGAGGATCATTCAGGACATGCAAGAACGCGCAGATACTGCCGAGTCAGCCGTAATGAAAGGCGGCGCTAAGGCCATCCAAAAAGCTGAGGCTCGACTGAAGACTCTCCAGGCCAATCTCGAAGCTGAAACTCGTCGTGCCACCGAAGCCTCCAAGTCTTTGGCAAGAGCTGACCGTAGGGTTCGAGAACTTGAATTCCAGGTCAGTTATACCCTTAGATTCATCCGGAGTGGCGGGTGGTAGGCGAATGCTCGCTAGAGCGACGCATACTGTGTTTCTCTTGCGAACGTGCTCTCTAGTCAATCCCTAGGCTTATTTAGCGATCGAACGACCCCGCCTTCCAACCGCCTCCTCCGATGAACCATAGGGTGTACGAAAAAAGGCACAGAAAGTTTTAAAAGAATGTTTTCAGGTTGCCGAAGATAAGAAAAACTACGATAAGCTGCAAGAGTTAGTGGAGAAATTGTCAGGAAAACTAAAAACGCAAAAGAAGCAGCTTGAGGATGCGGTAAGTTATTGAAAAAGGGGAGGGAGCGCGCGTAACGCTGACTGGACAAGATTCAGCGAGCCAATCATGGTGCGGATCCGCCCCTTGTTGTTAAACCGGGTTCACTTTTATCTATCGTCCATTCAAAGATTAAGAGAGTCGAGACCATTTTGCACAGATTGTCAAGACAAGCTTGTTCCTGTGGTTAGCCAATTTACACAGTCATCCATTAATCCACTGTTACAGGGAAATGGACGCAGCCAAAGCGTAAGATCTTGAGTAAAGTGTTTTTCCAGGAGGAACAAGCAAATGGTCATCTAGCAAAATACCGTACCATACAAATGGCGCTGGAATCAGCTGAAGAACGTGCTGATAGCGCTGAACAGACTCTCGTACGGATTCGATCGCGCAGTCGCGTGGTGCCGGAACAGAAGCAGAGAGCTGAATAAAAAGAATCAACTACCGTTTAGTCGTTGCTGCTAAAGGGATAGCATTATCTTTTAGTTTATTGCGTTCATTAATAAATCTGCGAAAGAATGTTGTTTGAGTATTTTAGAATAAAGGAGTAACTAAGGGTGTAGAACAATTAGCATGACCTTAGCTTTCATACAGAAACACCGCCGCGCGCGACACACTCTGCGGCATCTTTCTGCCTGAGCAAAGCATAGGGGGAAGACTTTCCGCGAGCGGTTGAAAAAAGTCATCAGGGGCACCTAAGGCCCAGTACAGCAGCGGCACTCCAAGAGCAGCGTTACCTATGCGTATCTGTATCATGTATCTGCCTCCCCCCCCCTCCCCCCTCACGTACTCAAATCGGGGAACGGTCAGGAGGTGCGATCGCCGCGAATTTTTCGTGAAGCGACGCCGCGACGTACTACAGCCAACAGCAGCCCTCCTTGCGCAGTGTTACTTATGGCATTTAAGTCATGAATCTGTCCCCCCCCCTGTTTTTGCCGTCGAGAATCTTTGACGGCGGGAGTTTTGAGGGCCCAAGGTTTGAACGCGGCCTGCGCGGCAAGGCTGCCAGCTACACTGCATGCCTCTTGACGTGCAGCCCTTCTCAGGCATTCGTAGTTAACTCGCACGCATAGAAATATGTAGCGACAGAATGACTGCGGGACTTAATCAGATCTGGCGCACGAATCTGGACACCGGCATTTTGATCGGAAAATTACTGCCCGAGACAGCTTATTCTTCCGCATTCATCCAAACCGGGAGAAAATCTGAGCTTCAGCGCAAGACTCGACGTTATGGTCTTTGACTGAGGCGCAACTTGCAGCTCATCACCAGGGTCAAGCGTGGGGTGCGGCACGCCACACCTGGGGGGTCGTATTGAGGAGTCAAAAGGGGAGGGGGTCGTAGTTGACTAATCTGATAATAGTGATAACATGATATTTGTATCATATCCATAATTAGCATGTCAATTAACCCCTGTAGACAAAGCGTGAGCGAATTCTGAAGATTCAAGATACTAGGCTACCTAAATGAAATGGTCAAATTCCAACATGGTTAACTTTGTTTCAAAGGTGAATTAGCTATCCGTTTTACTACTTTTACTTTCGTACTCAAGATAAAGCACTACTCCTTCTTTGTCCACCTCACGAATACCGCTTCAGAAGACCTGCAAACTGTGAAATTAGAAGCCAACCAAAATCTCGTTTTTCCCCTTTTTCGCTTTTGATCGCTGTGCTTTCACCAAACATTACTCAGAGCTAAGAAGACGAATCAGGCTCCAAACAGTCCTATGGAATTTACAAGGTTTAGGCTATCGATTCATATAAATACTGTCCGCTAAAAATGTTTTTTTGATATAGTTAATGGGGTGCGGCACACCCCCTTAAAAGCTGCGGCTGCCGCAGCTTTTAAGGGGGTGTGCCGCACCCTCTTAACTTGCCTTCAAAATCCAGAAAGCGCTCCATTGCTGGTATGAGTATTGAGCACATAGCTTCTTCTTGCTACACTGGAAATTTGGAGCCGAACGCCCCACCCATAAGAAAATTATGGCCCTTCAATATGCCCATTCAGATCAAAATCAGCCGTCAAATTACGCGTGATTGTAAAGTGCAGTCACAGAAAATCGGGCGTACAGCTCTCAGAAATCTGAAAACTCTCTAGAAAAAGCTGGTGTCCTCCAGAATGTTACACTTTGAGGTCCAGAGGTTTAGAGGAGGAAGAAGGGGTCGTTTGAGGGCTTTCATGGGAGGGGGGGGGTTGTTTTCGAAAGACTTGTGCCTGACCTCTTTCTCAACTCTGGTAATGCTATCTTAGGTATATAGTTCAGAGGGGGGGGTCTTATTAAGACAGCAATCAGGGGGGGGGGTCGTAACCAGCGATCGTGTGCCACACCCCTTGCTTGACCCTGCTCATCACTGTTCTCTTAAGAAATTTCAAAATGCATTTCATACCTATGTTGAGTACATACGTACTTACGTTAGTGTTCATTAGAATGTTTATTGAAAACTTTTTACAATAATTGTGCACAATGTAAAATCAAGTGACTGCAGTTCTTCAAGTAGTAGGAGAGTAGACAAATTGATCGCATGAGTACAAGATTTGCCATGGAATTGATGCATTTTTTCTAGTCAGCGTGGTGATAATGAGAAAAAATGTTCAATCATAAGATTAGAAGATGAAGCAGATGTGCGATGAGATCTTAAACTTCAATGTTTTTCTTCATCTTCGTCGTTTCTTTTTGATGACGCACACCGGATCGGGGTCGACTGTGGTTGTGCAAGTGCGTTTTTTCCTGAAGTAAGGGTGCCATTCTGAAGCTGATGTGTATAGAACAGATGTATTAGGTTGTGTCCCACAAGTTCCATCACTTTTCACTTTCCAACCCAACATTCCCTTACTTCTCTTGACTCTCAGAAAAGCTTTGGGATACCTCTCGATACAAAAGCAAGTTCTATTCTACAAAGCGGCTTCCGAAATTTGCACAAAGTGCGTGCTACAGTGAATTACAAATCAAAATCCAAAATTAGAAACCCAAAAACTCAAAGAATATCAGAACTCTGACTAAACATCTCTAGGGAACTCAGACTTCTCACACCTATGCACTCTTCATCTAATATTCCCATGCACACTTGCTGTAATTTTCCCAGCGTTCGAGACTAAGGAACAGAAATGGGCCAAAAATGCGAAAATGTTGTTTTTTAACGCTAAATTTGAAATTTCTCAATTATTGTCCATAAAAACCATAAATTTGTGGTTCTACTTCCTTATGCTATAGAATTACCTGTGTGGAAGCAGCGGCATCGCTTTGAAAAAAAGATATGCAAGTTTTGTTTTCTCGATTTCTAGCAGAAATACAGCAAATGTGCATATGAATGTTAGACGAGGTGTTACAGCGTGAAGAAGTTATAGCTTCTTAGAAATATTTCAAGCAGAGTTCCAATATTTTTTTTTCGAGTTTTCGGCTTCGGAAATTTTTAAGATCTTAATTTTCAATTCAATGTGTAACGGATTCTAGGCAAAATTTTGGGCGTCACTTTCTAGAGCTTGCTTTGCTTTATCAAAAGGTACCCCAGTTTTTGATGATTAATAAACATGGGAGTTATTGTGATGAGTATTAAAAACGAACGGAACTTATGAGACATCCTGACTTGTATTAGGTTCGCGAAAGTCCTTGCGTACTTGAAAACGAAATTCAATGACTATATAAAAACTGGACCTAAATTTACAGTTCGGTATCCTAAAAATAATAGGAGGTTTCCGCTTCATGACAGATGTTTATATCTCAATAGCAAAAGTCCATATGCCACTTGGGCATGCTTCGACCTCGCATCAAGATGTAAAAACAAAAAATTGTGAAAATTATCATTTCACAAGGTATGGTTCATTTTTGAAATCGTGACGACTGGTTGAGCGGTCTTTGCGCACACAGAAGCATCAAACACCCATACAAACAGAAAACATCTAAACGCCCAGCCCAGCCATTCCGGTGTCTGAATACTTCATATGTAAGCGTGGAAGTAATTTGAGTAGAGATAGAAACCAAGAAATGGGAGTGCATACGTGTTGCGAGCGGTCGCGCCATCGTAACGACAGAAACACAGCTTGAAACCAAACACTGCGACGTTTTTTTTGAAATGTCAGAAGGTGTTTCGCTGAAAAAGTGCAGTAATGAGGGAATATTTTTGTAAAATGACATTTTTCATGAATTTTTTGTTTTTGTGTTATTGGACAATATTGAAGCCTACCACGATAACGTATAAATTTTTGCTGTGTAAGTAATTGTGCAGATTTTTTGGGCCAGCTAGCGGCCTTTCACGATTTTCTAGCACCAAACCTGAAGTCGCAAAATTTGTCACGCCATTTTTGGAATTTCTCAGATAATCGCCGGGAGAGGGCGGTCCACAAACTCGCTCTTTTCTGCAGGCGCTCAGACAATCAAAGGCTCAGCCGGCCCCACCAAAAGCGTCGTTACCTTATCGCCGCCACTTTTCGCTTCCCGCTGAGAACTTTGCTAGAACTGGCAGCGAGCAGGCTGCCATAAAGTCTTCAGCGCAAAGCGAATGTGGCGGCAATAAGGCATGGCAACCACTTTCGCTTCGCGCTGAAGACTTTATGGCAGCCCGCTCACTGCCAATTCTAGCAAAGTTTTTTAGCGGGAAGCGAAAAGTGGCGATAAGGCAACGACGCTTTTGGTGGTGCCGGCTGAGAGCCTTTGATTGTCTGAGCGGTCAGCAAAACTTTGGGGCGTAGCCAAACCTTCGAGTGGTACTTCCGTGTTCTGCCAGCGGGCAGCAAAACAAAATTTTCTGCAAGCGCTCGTCAAATAATCTCTTTCAGCGAGCGCTGGCCAAACTTTCAGCAAGTGCTCGGACTGTTTTTACGCAGTTTTGGGAGTACGCCGAGCAAAGGTACACTCTACATAACAGAGGTGTCATCGATGTTTCAATACTTACTTAGATATTCAGATGGCCCGTCCTCACGTGGCGTGCGGGTACCAGTACAGAAGTTGCCATTGATCCCTCCTTCGCTTTGGACATCCACGATCTTCTTGGTCGTCGTCGGTGGCTGCGTCCACGAGTTCCAGGGGCGAGAATCGTATCCAGCTGATTTCTCAGCTGGTCCATCCGTTCCACGAACACGTCTGCCCATCTCGTCGGTGGTCTTCCTCGAGGACGTTTGGCTTCGCGAGGAATCCACTCAGATGTTCTTAGTGTCCATCTATTGTCCGTTCTTCTCATTGTGTGACCGGCCCATCGGTGTTTCGCTTTCGCAACGTATTCCGCTGGGTCACGAAGACGGGACATTCTTCTCATATCCGTGCTGCGAAGTCCGACTAGATGTTGCTTGCGTCGGGTCATCTTCAGAAGACTGCGCTCGAGCGCTCTGTGAGTGGTCCGTAAAGCTTTTGACGTGGCTACAGTGTCGGCCCAAGTCTCAGCTGCGTAACAGAGTGCCGGGAAAACGGTTGAGTCGAACAGGCGGGCACGAAGCTCCGGGTCCGTAGTTGGTCGGTGGCTTCCTTCAGAGGCCCGAAGGCGGCCCAGGCTGCTCTTCTTCTTCTGTTAAGTTCTTCCCTCAAGTCGTTCTCCATGTTCATCGAACGTCCGAGATACACGTAAGAAGACGTCTCCATGATAGGGGTGGCTTCCAATTCCATTTCTGCATCTTCGCAAAGGGCGTTCTTCATAAACTGAGTCTTCTTCCGATTTATTCGCAGTCCGATCTACTTCCCTATTTCGTTTAGTTCCTTCAGCATCGCCTCTGCTTCAGTGATACTACTCGAGAAAAGGACGACGTCATCCGCAAAACGAAGGTTGGATAGGAATCTCCCATTAACTCGTATGCCTCTCTCTTCCCAGTCTAGTGACTTCATCGCCCACTGCAAGGCCGCGGTGAACAGCTTCTGCGAAATAGTGTCGCCTTGTCAAACCCCCTTCCCAATTGGAATGGTTAGGGGGCGATGGAATATCTGCATCGTTGTTGTACAGTCCTTGTAGCAGTCGGCTAGTGTCCTCACGTAAGCTGTTTCCACTCCTTAATCGACTAGCGCAGACAGGATGGCATTGGGTTCGACGCTGTCATAGGCTTTCTCGTAGTCGGCGAAGGTTAGGACGAGAGGCAGTCGGTACTCCCGGCAGACTTCTATGACCCTCGAAACCATCTGGATGTAGTCCATGCAGCTGAATCCTTTGCGAAATCCAGCTTGCTCTTGGGGTTCGGCTTCATCCAGTGTCCTAGATATGCGTGCGAGGATAATCTTCGTGAAGCAGTCTTTGTAAAGTACACTCAGCAGGCATATTAGACGGTAATTTCGAAGATCTTCCCGTTCACCCTTCTTGAAAAGAAGGACGGTTCTTGAGGTTCTCCACTGGTCGGGAATCCTCTCCTTCTTAAAGGTTAACGTGTAGACGTTGTCCTCCGGCTCGCAGAAATTCCACGGAAGGATGATCTGGTCCTGGAGCCGTGGAGGTCTTCATGGTCTGTATCGCAATACTCACTTCAGCAGGCAAAATCCTTGGTGGTACTTCTCAGTGGGAACAACGGGCATCGGCATGTGTGTTGATGAGCGGAAGAGGTTGGTATAGAGGTTCTTCGCGATAGATTCCATCTTGTATCGGGAAGAAGTCGGAGTCCGTCTTCGTTCAATAGTGCAGCCAGCGGTACGTGATATTCACAGAAGTCCCTTCGGCATTTCTTAAGACTTCGTCTTCCTTCGGCTGCTTCTAGTATCTTGGCTTGCCTGTACTTCCTGAGATCCTCCTGCATAGCTGTTCTGCAACTGGCGTTGTCTATCAGTCGCTCGAGGTGGGTTGCATTCGGATCCTGCCTCAGAAATCTTCTTCTTTCGAGCAATTCCTTGGTGGTCTTCGAAATACGTTCCAAGTTCTTCTCAAAAGTCACTGATTGTGAGGCACATTCTCCGCAGGCTCGCCCTTTCAGAAGCCGGTCGTAGTCGTACGTTGGGTCCTCTTCGATGGGCCAGTCACATCTTGATATGAGCTCCTCCAGCCTGTTACCGTCATAAACGACTTCCTTCCTTCTGGCGGCACTGTGACAGACTTTCTTTTCCAGCCTTCGGCTGAGTCGTATCTTCGCTCGAAGGAGGCGGTGATCGGAGCCACTGCAGAAGGATGGAACTACTGAGACATCGAGCAAGCTCCACCTTCGGTTGGTGAGAATGTGGTCGATCTCCGCGTGGGTCGTTCCGTTGGGCGATTCCCATGTCCACCGGCGATGTTCTTTCTTCATGAAGATGGAATTTCCATGGAAAAGTCGTGCGGCGGAGAGAAGCCCAGCGAAACGGTTGCCGTTTTCGTTCCGGAGCCCATATCCAAACTTCCCGCTCCTATATTCCTTTTCTAGTGGCTTTTTGCGATTTTCGCATTTAAGTCGCCCACAACATACTTGTAGAAAGACTTTTCGTTGCGGACGACCTCCTCCACGTCTTCGTAGAAAGCATCTACCCTATTTTCAGGTGTATAAGCCGCACCCTGATCGCTCTATTCGCGCACGGACACCGGAGCGGCGCGCGTCTTATGCGTAGCGGTCGCATCAATAGGGCATAGTAGCCATACAGCAGCTCAAATCTACGAGATTTGAAGCTGTACAATGCTTTTCTTATCATGAGTTTGTGAATGGCTACTCTACTCTCTTAAACAAAAACAAGCGAAATCCAAGATGAGTTGAGAGCACATTGCAACTGGAGAAGCAAATCTTTCTGGTTAAGCTTGTGATAAGACCTCATGGATGCTTCTCCAAGCTCCGTCGCTTCTACCATCTATTATATTTCCACAAACTTCACCACTCTTTTCTCTTTTCTTTGTGTGAGACTTCTTCGTGTTTTCAGCATTCACTATACTTTGGTTGTGATCAAAAAATACAATCCTAGTTTATGCGAGAACATTGAGGATACTCCACTCATTATCTACTTTGAGTAGTCATGAAACCGTGGAAATAGATAGTGTACAGAGAGTGGCCGCACTTCAAGCTTTCCAACTCTGTCCAGTTTGGCAGCGCGAACGAATCTCTATCTTCAAGACAAACCCTGAACTTCGCAGGTGCATCAGATAAAGCACGCTCAAGCAGTGTTTTGTAGAAGCGGCTCTTGCGAAGGAAGCAGAGCCGAACCAAAAGCCTGTAAACAAACGTTCCATTTGTGAGGAAGAGCAACTGCACTACAGATGCACAAGAATAATGTATTGCATATTTTGCACACCCCCCGTCCAAAATTTACTTCCGCGTCTTCGGTTTATTCACCATAATATGCAAACACGCAACAAATCAAGAAAAGTGAAATGATGAAGTATGTGCGAAGAAAGAGATCTTCATGAGAAGGAATTGCATTCAACTTGAGCAATAAAAACCGGTTAAGCACGTTAGACGAGAAACACAGAATACAAGATGAAGTGAATGAAAAACACTCAAAAGCAACAACTAAAAGTAATATTCATTGACGTTTCCTTGATCGGCATCAGGCTGACTTCCCTTCAGCGCACGACGGAATCCGTTCCGAACACATTGAGCAGTGACTTCCTGAATGCTTTGCAGTACCCATAAGCAAATCTCTTGATAGGTAGCTCGTCGCATGTGTCCTTTCTTGGTGTAACTGTGTCTAGCGTCGTCTATCAACCATTCTTCCCATCTTCTTCTTAATTTGTTCTTGAACGACTTATCGGCAATGTCCAATGGTTGGAGGAGTTTCGTAAGCCCTCCTGGGATGAAAGCTAATTTCGCTCTTTTCTGAACTGCCTTCTTTGCCTCCATCGTTATATGACACCGTGCCGAATCAAGTATAAGCAATGCCTTTTCCGGCAAGTATGAAGGATCTGGACGAGCCATCCAGCACTCTTCAGCCCATTCAGATAGCAATTCTTCGTTCATCCACCCGTGAGCGTTTGCCTTCACAATGACTCCTGCAAATATCATCTCGTCTCAAGAAATGTAAAGTGACAAATCTAAACATACTCACCTGATGGAGTGTCTTTGGGGCCGTTTTTTTTTCTCGAAAATTACCATCGGCGGGCAGATTCCTCCATCGGCAGTGACCCCAAGGACTACAGTGAAATTAGTTCTCTCGTTACCTAAATCGGTGGATTGATAGCCTAATACTTTAAACTTATCCTTCTTACCAGTTGTTGCTATACCGACGTCCTGCGTTCCGCGTATGTCAACTGTATAACGCCGCGGCATATCAAACGTCACCGGTACTTCATCCATATTACCGATATCCTTAGCGAGAATCGTCGTGATTTTAGCCTTTACAAATGATCGAAAGCTGGCTACGAGCTCATCGGCATTGGTAGGTAAGTGCTGACCCACAGACGTACTCGCTCGCATTGAGAGATCCGCACGACGCATAAAATTATAGCACCAGCTGCTTCCTCCGTTAAAGTCAACAATTCCCATGTCATCAGCGAGCCTCTTTGCTTCCAGGCGTATTGAGATTGTAGAAACTTTCCTTTTTTCTGCGCGTTGTTCGAGTACCCACTCCTTGACTCGTTCCTCAAGCTCTGGCCATTGCGGTCTTTTGAAGCGGTTCGCACGTTTATTTTCGTCCATGGCTTGCAAAACATTGGCGTTCTTTTTCCACCTCCTCACCAATGATTCATCAACTCCAAATTCTTTCGCAGCTGCTCGGTTGCCGTTTTCCTCGCCCGTTTCGAGATTGATACTTGTGGCATATGTGACTACCGTGAGTTTGAAAGCGGCCGTGTATGTTCTTCTTCTCAATTGCACCATATTTGCAACTCCCCTATACCAACAAACTCTGTATCGTCTCAGCTCGTTCCTCTGACTCCGCCCACAACAAGGTCGCCACCGAAAATGGACGCCAACGAATTCATGCTTTTGAGGCTTATGCCAAATCGGCGTGCTTTTCCATATATTCCTGTCCTCTTCCGGTTCAGAAAGAAGGACCAGAGATATTTTGGATCTAGACCAAGAAGACTACAGGTAAGGATTGATTGAATGGAAGTTTCATTACCTTTGCCTCTATAGGTTGTCGATTTCCTACTTCTCAACAAAGCTCAAGAGGCTGGAAGGCTAAGCGAACAGTTTTTCATTCTCCAACTTAGATTGGTGCCTCTACAATGTGTAGGTTTTCTCTTTGCACGACAGTTTGAACAAATTTGGGTTCTTACACTGAGGTCCATTTCGAAACAACTAGGCTAGTATCCGAGAAAACTGAGGACGTATGAGATTGTACGACAAAGATGAGTTGCACGATTGAAGTGCACTGGCAATCGCGCCAAATACCTAAACCACCTTCAAATCACAACAAACAGGCATAACACCTCCGCAAACTCAATGACCACAGCTTCGATTTGCTCAAAAAATGACGAAACCCCTCCTAGTCCTTCCCGTTATAATGCCAAAGCCTCCTGCCTCGTCTCAAATCTCCAAACAAGACTTTGTGACAAAAGCTTTTGAAAGAGATAGACGAGGAAAAAGCTGCAGAGAAGTTTGTTCTCGGGTACTGTCTGAGTACAAAGCATACTTTAAAAACATACCAAATAAGCTATATGCACGAACAAAGCCGAAACTGCAAAAGAGTGGGCTGGGACCTGTGTTGTTAACTGTCTATGCTTTTAGCGAAAAGCCATGGCAATCCCAATTCTGTGGTACTGGATATTGGAAGAGGGGAATGAAGGGGCAAAGCAACTAGTGGCAGTCGGTTGATCGAACTGCACTTGTGCGTAAAACACTGTTGAAAGAAAAGGTCACGATTTTCAAGTGTCTGTCAAACCAGGGTGACGTTTGTGCAAGAGAGTAGGAATCATACGCTACCAAACGAAAGCTGTCAATGGCTTCGTAGAGCAACAAGCTTCTAAGTCACAGAAAAGACGACTGCTATGGCAGTTCTTGATTGATTCAGCAGCATCCGAACAACTCAGCGAGGTTCCACAGCACGCCGCCACTTCCATGTTTGCTTAGAATATTCTTCAAAAATTTAGAATTTCAAGTTGTTTACTTACGCTAATCGCGTCGAAAGACGCAAAGAGGATGACGCAGTGGTGGTGCACTCGGAAACCTCGCAGTGAATCACGCACAAGTAGCCACCCAGGGGATGTTTATAAGGAACAAGAAAAAATCATCAGATCTTGAGTTGAGCCAAAAACTGCTTGTGTACGAATGATGGCAAAAGATAATATTAAGTAACACAAAACTGCGTACAATGTAGGACCAACTCAAAATTTACCTGAACTGACATAGATATAGCGCAGCGTTTCAATTGTTGAAACATTACCATTCATCAACGCCCTTCGCTGCATCAAGTTCTGCAAAATGAAGAAAATGGCAGTTAGGCAGACTGATTATGTGGCAAAACAAACGCACTTCAAAGTTGTAACGGTCCTACGGCACTTAGCTTGAGAACGAAGAAGCAAACTTTTCACGGAAATAGAAGACGATACTGAAAAATGAACCGCATACATTTGCTTGTGGAGTCTAGAGAAAGGCCGAAGCAGTCAAAGCTATGCTACACCAGCATATAATGGCATTCAAAATTCGTGTTCACAAACGGATAAATACTCACATGGATTTTCCAAAACCAGACCGTCGCACAGCTGTCTCGTTGGTAGCTATGCTGAAGTTACATCGCAGCCGTCTGCAAAATGAATGGATTTCGTAATCGGGCTCACGGGAAAGACGCCAGTCAAAAATATTGTACGATTCATTCGCTCATAAGCTTGTAGTGACAACACGGTGACAACACGAGAGCTTTATAACTTCAAAGAAGAAGTTAATGAGACAAATCGTGCATAAAATAAGAAAAAATCGTAATGACGCGGCAAAAGGCTACTTTCCGCGCTCCATAAAACAAGTGCTGCGCATGAATAGCGGGCGCCGTGCCGCGGTCCGTGCACGAATGGAGCGATCAGGGTGCGGCTTATACACCTGAAAATAGGGTAGTTCTAAATCGTCAGCTGCTGATAATAAGAAAGATAGTTTTTAATTTGTTACTCCGTTTCGTCCCTTTCCTTAGACGGAGTTTTAAGATCTAGACCCTCTCCGGGACTCTTCAGTAAGGAGAGAAGGTCTAGTTTTATTTTCCAAAGAAATTATTTTGAAAAAATTGTAAAACTCAACTTATACTTCGATTGTCGTCCAATTCTTTTTTTCTGTCGTGTGATCTTGTGTGTTGCAAAGTAAGAATGGACTTGTCTTGACTTGTTTATTTTCATTGTATTATCATATGTGTTGAATATATCATTTATACTTCGTTTCATATATATCGGTTGATCACAATTTATGTTTATATTTTATAATATATTTTTTCGACTCAGTTTCTTAAATTCATCATTGAATATATTGTAATTATATAGTACTAGCTTGCTTACCCGGCTCCGCCTGGTTCAGTGAAAACTGTGATAAAGGTTCCATCGTTATCCGTGCAGAATCCTTCCCTGTGCCACTTCTCCATGCCCTATCCCCGTTCTCTCAGCATGCTCACCTACCCCCTGTGCCAACTCCCAGCCCTCCAGGTTAAACTTTGCAAAAAATCGATAAAATTGATAAAACTAATGGATGAATCCAAAAACTATTACTGTATTCGTAATCAGCATGCTCGATTACCCCCTGTGCCAACTCCCAGCCCTCTAGGTTAAACTTAGCAAAAAAATCGATAAAATCGATAAAAGTAATGGATGATGCTGAAAACTAATATTGCATTCGTGATCAGCATGCTCGATTACCCCCTGTGCCAACTCCCAGCCCTCTAGGTTAAACTTTGCAAAAAAATCGATAAAATCGATAAAAGTAATGGATGATGTTGAAAACTAATATTGCATTCGTGATCAGCATGCTCGATTACCCCCCTGCGCAAACTCCCAGCCCCGCAGGTCAAACTTTACAAAAAAAATCGATAAAATCGGTAAAAGTAATCGATAATCCTGAAAACTAATATTGTATTCGGAATCCCCATGCTTGATTACCCCCCTGTGCCAACTCCCAGCCCCGTAGGTGAACTCAGCAAAAAAATCGATAAAAATCGATAAAATCGATATCGATCGATGACGAAAAGTAGCCTATGACACCCGCCTGAGCCCGAAGTGTATGTGTGCCAAGTTTGGTCCGGATTGGTTCAGAAATGGAATTTTCTATTCGGAACATACGTACAGACAGACATACAGACAGACAGACAGACAGACAGACAGACAAACAGACATTCAGCTTTATATATAAGATGAATGGATTTCTACTTAAGCATTTGAAAATTGATGATGATATTATACTTATGTCATATTCATTTTTAAGTAGTATATCTCTAAGTTGTGATATTTTTTGCTACATGTTCTTGCTATTCTGAGAGTTTCTGTATATATGGTTGCCTTTTTAATGTTGAACGAGATACTAGATGTAGAATGTATGAATCTTTTAACGTTAAAATTAAAATAGTCAGTTTTATTATATAATTTTGTAATCAATTTATTGTTTATTATTTCAATATTCAGGTCGAGATAGTTACAGCTATAGGTATTCAAGTGTGTAGCTCCTATTTGAAGTTTATGTTCGTAAATTTTTTTGACTAACTTGTGGATAGTATTTTCTTCTATGTTATGAATAAGTGAAAGGTCCATATATCTATAAGGTATTATTTGGAAATTGTTTGTGATATTTTTAATAGAATACCTATATTCGTACCAAGAAAGTGTAAGACCTGCTAATAGTGGGCTGAAGTTACCACCTTGAGGAACTCCAACTTTTTGTTTCAATGTATAAATGCTGAAGCGACAGAAACTATTATCTAGAATTTAGTCTACTAAATATAGTAAATCTACTAAAGTATAAGATCTGGATTTTGTACTCAAATGTGTCGTATCGCTGCTATAATAAATGTTATTGTTTCCATTGAATATAATGTATTTTTCATTTGCACTGTTGAAACACAGTTCTAAAATTTCTTTTATATTGGATTTTATAAAGTCGTGGGGTAGGCTTGTAAACATATTTGTAAAATCAGCAGAGAAAATCTTCATATTTTTCATGCTGATATTTGTTAGATTTTCGCTGATGTTAATGTTATCTATAGCCCAGTACCCGTTAGAATTGTGATTTCTATTTTTTATAGCTTGCAAGTATTTTTTGAAATGACTTTTAATGAATGTGAAAATCATTCTTAATTCGATAGCTAGTGGTTTTATACTGCTATGTGTAGCACCAGTTATGAATCTGAATTTGGTAGGTGTTTTGTGTAATTTTGGAACTGCATATATGAGAGGAATATTGTTAACTTTTTCTAAATGTAATTTATTGCTATTGCAAAAAATTTTGTGTTTGTCGATAATTTCTGTATTATTTTCCATTGTGTATATGTCATACGTCGAATTTTGTGAAAATTGTAAATTTGGTCCTAGTAAATTAATGCCTAGTTCATTCATCAATTTTTGTATATAAAATTTGATACATATCAGACCAAAATTATTGCTGGCTTTATCTAATGGACATATGTTGGAGAGTAGCAGTTGATGATGCTGATGGTCTTCTGACGTGGAGGGCGTAGTCGTAGGATGGCTAGTCGGGGTGATAGGATCTCGTGCGAATCGACAAGATGGACGATAGATGGGTGGACGACAAAGCCAACGCCTCCCACGTTTCGTGATGGAACCTTCTCACCACGAATGATGAGCGCCCCATCATTCATCTATCGCACGTCCTTCTTCCTGGACTTCGTTTCTTGGAGAGCGATGATGCGGTACTTGATGTGCTCTGCAGCGTCGAGAAGAGCGTGGAGGTCGGCATTTGTGGAGACTGTCCTGGCGTTGTAGGTGCAGAGCATGAGGCAGTCTCCGTGACGTGTCGTCCGGGCAGACGTGTCGTTTTTGTCCATCCAAGAGGCGCCCTGAGGACCCTGACATCAGTCTTGCTACCACCCGGCGCCGTAGGCGGGATCCGATGTGCAGGGTTTCTTTCTATTCTTCTAACTGGTAGTGTGGCGGCTCGGTGTGATCAGCACCTTCCGCAAGTGCTCGCCGCAGCTACACCTAATTCCCTATTGTCCCCTACGATGTCGCGCGTCCACCAAGGTTTATGACGCCTTGACGGGCGCTGCCGAGGACTACCCCCTACAAGTATAAATAGCACGATAAATAGCGCGTAACGCTGAGAAAAGAAGGGACCGACTAGTTCAGACTACATTCAATCACAAAACACAATAATAAACTACTAATACTACAAAAACTGCTAAACTATTAAAATTACTGAAAATACTACTTCAAATACAGGAAAAACTAGGCACGAGCCGGACGGGCCGCCTCGTCCCGTGCTGCCGATGCTGAAGGTGATCGACTCCAGCAAGTAGTCCCGGGCTCTCCGCTGGGTCAACCGCAAGCCCCTAGCCCTTCCGGGACGGTGTGACCCCTCTCCACTCCCGCTAGTACACTTCCTACGCTATACGAACCATGACTTTTAGCTGCGCGTCTCCAAAACCAAGAAGATAACAAGGGCTCAACCGCTCGAAACCGATAATCATCTGCGGGAGCTGTTGGAGGCGCTGCCAGCACGAACGATATCATAGACGATCGATACGAACGAAACTCGAAGAGGCGTAAACCGCAGCCTGCGCGCCCTTATATACCCTGTGACTTGGCAACGCGCCCAGCAGGAGAGATCTTGGCGCGAAATGGGCAGCGCGCCAAGTAACGCGATAGCCAGCGCTCCCGGCCTCCTGTTTCGAGGAGTGGCTTGCATCGCGAGCCGCGACAGGTAGAGTAATGAAATTTTTCCCCTACTAGAGCAGACTTACTAGGCCAACTCTTGATTTCCACGGGGCGATCGCTGACCCCGGGCTTGGAGCGGGGAGAACCGCCTAGGGTTGTTTCAGACTGCCGCACTGACTGCAGCAGACCGCAGCTGACTGCAGCTGACCGCACTGACCGCAGCTGACTGCAGCAGACTGCATGACCGCACTGACCGCAAGGGCCGCACAGATCGCTGTATTCTTCCGTAAAGGTTGGAGAGGATAAATAGTTGTAGCCCAAACAATCAACAACAATATATGCCTAGATCCAAAAGACAACATCGAAAGTAAAACATGTACAGGGTGTCCCAAAAAAATGTGAACACTATTTGATCGTTAATAACTCCGTTGCTTTCATGTCTTTCGCCGAGCTTGAAGCACCATTCCGTAGAGCGAGGTTCAACTTAGATTTTCAGTATGAAGCGAATCACCGATCGCTGTTGATTACTGTAGGATTACTGTATGAACTTCTAGCATGTGGATATATTATGAAATATACCATTGGACAAATTTTTTCAACAAATCTGAAAAGTCGTGTACTATGGTTTTCGCGCACGCTGATTCCATTACACAACTTTCTACGAGTGTTTTTAGCTTTTTGACGGTGTAGTCACATTTTTGACAAATGCTGGAAATTCATTATTACGGTTTAGCTGGGATAACCTTGGAAAGAAGCATCACAGTAATGTGGAAAGTTCATATTCGAAATCAGCGGCTTCCATTACCATAGTATAAAAGTTTTTGGCTTGTTTGGTTTTGTTCCAAGGACAATAAGGCCTCCAATGGTCTAAAATCCTGGTCGAAATTCCTACCGTAATCCTACAGTAACGAAGAGCGATCGACGATTCGGTCCGTACTGTA